GAAGGACGGAGGACCCAAGGAGGTGTCAAACAAAGGAGTGGTGGTGGATGAGGAAGAGTAAAACATGAGATTTTCCATAAAGACCACATTGCAGGCTGTACGAATGCGACGGAGTTCCGGATCATAGCAAAGATAACCCTTAGAAACATCACTATAACCAAGGAAGACACAATGAGCAGTTTTTGAGGATAATTTATTTTGTTCAGATCGAGGAAGCAAGACAAAGCAAAGACAGCCAAAAACACGTAGGCTCGAGTACGGGGGATTTTTGCCAAACAGTTGAAAGTAGGGACTCGATTGACCAAGAATCGGAGTGATCTGGTAATTAATCAATCGAACAGCAGTGGAAACTGTCTCGGGCCAGAAGAAAGAAGGAATGTGAGAAGAAAGAAGGAGAGCATGAGTGACCTCAACAACATGACAGTTTTTACGCTCGACTAGACCATTTTGCTGGGAGACACCTGGACACAATTTCTGGGTGAGGATGCCAAGAGAAGAATACAGATTAAGTAATGGGGCAGTACTAAATTCACCACCCGGATCTTACCGACCTACACGAACCGTTCTATCAAACTGAGTCTGGATCATTTTTAAAAATTCAGTGGCAATGGGTAAAAGATCAGACTTGAGGCGCAGGAAGTAGACCCAAGTATATCGAGTAGCATGATCAACAAACAGTGCAAAATACTTATAGCCATGACGTGAGGTGACCGAACTAGGACCTTACAGATCGGTATGGATAAGATGAAAAGGTTCATTGATAACTGTGGTGCTAGAAGGAAAAGAAATGCAAGTAGTTTTGGCCTCAACATAGTTTTGACAAGAAAAATCTGATACACGATCACATTTATTGTTTTCACCAAATAATTGCTGACGAAACATGGCCACAAGTCTATTTGAGTTTGGATGACCCAATCTAGCATGCCACAAATGAAAAAATTTATCACTAAGACTCGAGTAAACTGGAAATGAAGATACCCTAGACACCGACAAAGAATCCGACACTGAGCGAGATGGCACAGTCGAGAGCTCATCAAGAACGAAGATGCGACCGTGCTTGCTACCCCTCCCGAGCTCCCTCCCCGTCTTCATGTCCTGCACAACACAACCAGAGGGTGCAAAGGTAACCCGACACCCTTGCTCAATAAGTTGGCCCACGAAAACCAAATTAGGGACAAGCTTAGAGATATGAAATGTGGCCGGTAAAGTAATCTGGGAGTCATGAACGGAGCCAATACTAGAAATATGCAGCTTATCACCATTGGCAACTTGTAACGACATGTTTTTAATCGGACGAACACTCATAACCGTAGAACCATTACTAGTCATGTGATTAAAACATGCAGAATCAAGAATCCACCGAGGAAATTCACCTGTAACCTGAAGACTAGAAAAAGCAGAAGTAATGGCCTTATTAACCATTTGTTCCAAGGCAGTGGGAGTGACTAACACACCATCCGAGCCTACAGCTGAGGTCGCGGCATACACTGGGCGAGAACCCGAACTAGAAGAGCTGCTGCCGCGTCCTCCTTGATTGCCATAGCCACTGCCGCGACTCCTAGTAGGCCCGCTGGACCCACTATCGTCGGCCATTCTTTCCTGCAACAATCCACAATCCAAAATAATATGACCACGTTTCTTGCAATCGACACAAAAATTGCGCTTACGGCAGAATTTCTTCGTATGCCCCTTCTCATGGCAATGGTGACATTCAACTTCTGAAAGAGGTCGATGATACGACTGGGAACGATAGGCTGGGAAGGCGAGCTGGTCGCTGCTTTCCTTAGAACGAGGCTCGCCGCTACCTCCTGAAGAAAGAGCAGCAACATTCTGGGAGAAGGCAGCAGTGCTGGGAGGGCGACCGCCAGAGACCGCGCTAAAAATGGCTGAATCGCCGCGCCCTGGGCGAACATCAAGGGCAACCAGGGTCCGAAGGCAAGTTTCCTCGCGGACTAGATCGGCCAGGACACCTTCAAGCTTCAGAGATTCCCGGTTGAGCAGAGTGGCGCGCAGAGGTTCAAATTCTGGCTTGAGGCGCATCAAAAAATGCACCAGGCGAATCTTATTCTTCTCACCCTGGAGCTCGGCAGGAACCGGTTGGGAAAGGAGTGAAGCTGAGAGCAGGTCCTGCTCTGTCCAGGTCTGCCGAGCCGCGTTGAAGTAAGAAGCCACGTCGAGTTTGCCCTGATGGAGATTAGCTAATTCGACTTCCAGCTCATACTGTCAGTTTGAGCTTGTGGAGGAATATGTCTCTACCAGGGATTTCCACATAGCCGCTGCTGTAGGGAGAAGGCACAGCCCGAGCACGATGCTTGGGTCAACTGAATTCATGATCATCGACCGAACCTTGGCGTCTTGCTGCACCCACCTGGAAACGGCCTGCTCATCAGCAGGAGGAGAGACCGGCCGCTTGGAGGAACCATCCAGCAGCCCCGCAAATCCTTTGCCTTCAATGAAGACCCTAAACTGAAATTCCCATAACGCGTAATTCTTGGAATGCAATCGAATGTTGATATGATCGGAATCCATAGCGGTGAGCTCTGATACCATGTTAGAAACTAGGATCGTAACTCAAATAGCTAGAAGCAGAATCGAAACGGAGACAGGGATTTACGTGGTTTCCTTGATCAGTGTGATCAAGACTAGTCCCAGGCCGAAGCTATCAACGTATTCACTTAGCTTCCAATGTCACGTTACAATTGACAATAAATAGAGTTCTCTAACCCTAGCCGAGAGGGAAGAGAGGTCGGCTTAGGGCTTGACTAAAGCCTCCTACATTCTGTACATTAAGGGGTCGTTTGGAAGTTGCGATTGTTAAATATATGTATTGTTGAGAATGCATGTGTAATATTATACATGTATTGTTGAATTTGATGCATTGTAGAATACAACGTTTGGTATGTGTGATTGTGTATGTCGCATTAGCTAAAAGCTAAGACAAAACAATCTCAATTCAATTATCTCAACAATCACAACTAAAAGTTGAGATATAACAATCACTCAAAATGAGTGATAGTTTCTGTCACATCATAGAAACAATCCATGTATTGTTTCTGCTAAAAAAAACAAAAAAAATGATGCATTGTAAACAATACATGCATAATGACAATCTCAACAAAACAATCGCAACTTCCAAATGACCCCTAATTAAATGGGCTGAAGCCCAATTACATTACTCAACAAAAAGTAGAGATTGATAATTCTTCAATTATGAGTGATTGTGGTGGGGCCTTCAAAAAGTTAATGCATGTATTCTAGCTCAATATAAGAAAAAAAAATGACTTAATCTCACAAATACATAAATTGGCTCAATACATCATTTAAAATCACAACTTCCAAACGACCCCTTAAACTCGACTACGTGTTGTTTCTTTTCTTTGCAATCCGAGGAGAAACCACCAAAGAGGTCGTTAAACCCGTAATTGAGACATGAAATTCAAAAGATCTGCTTTGGAATTTGATTTCCATGGATGCCATTTCCAAAGAAATCTCTCCATCAACATCTGCACGACTGGCTACAATATACCCCTCACAAAATGAAAAAGACTAGCCATCATATACCCTAGTCGCTGTCTCGGACGTGTACGAAAATGTGCTTTGTCATGAGAAAGAGAGAGAGAATAATAAATAGAGCCGGGGCGGGAAAAGGAAGAAATTTTGTATTTTAGTTTGGAAGACCAATTAAACGCTGGCAATTAGGGTAGAGTCCATATGGCTAATTGATGGGATAATAAAACACGTAATTACGTGCCAAATGGTGATTTTGAAATGACAGTTTAATTACGCGCCAAAAATTAGAAGCTGAGGTGGCTGACAGGCCGGCTGGATGCAATGTTTACTAATGGGAAATGGATAGCTGGAGCTAACCTCTTTTCCCGGGAAAATTCGAAGATAGCAGTTTACAATTCTACCCCCGGTCGATTTATATAGATGATTTATTAATTTATGTTGAACGAGAAATAGTAATCTTAGTTCAAATCAAATAACAAGCCAACCCTCTTCCACCCGTTATAGAAACACTGATAGTTTATTAAATTATGTTGACGAGAAGTAGCATAATGAAATTTTAATTCACAAAAGCATTTTCAATGATTTACATAGAATAAATTTGACTTCTAAAATTCTCCACCGATCCACCTAAACAAAATTCTTTTCTCATCAGTTGTAATATGGGGTTGGCTACATAGGCGGGGCGGGTAACTCAATACTCATGTTTCGACCCACGCTACTGCAGGTCGGGGCGGGTAATACCCTCACGGGTATGGGGCGGGGTTGGTTGACCAACTCTTACATGTTACTTGAACAATTATATGTAAAATTTTACTTTTTACAATCAAATGTAGATAAAAACACTTTATGAATGAAAAATATGTTGGAAGAAGGTCGAAGCTGCAACGGCTGGAGGAATCAGAATCCTTCTAGGAGAAGGATTGAAGAAGACACCAAAGTTTCAAATGTCAATAAGTTGAACGGGAGCGTTATGAGTAATAAAGTTATCATAGTGATATCAGAGCTCGAGCAAGTTGTAACCAGAAGCTTTCAAGCACATTTGAGTGATTAAGGTGAGTGAGATTCTGCTGTCAATTGCAGTTGGTTTTGGGAAACACGAGGGACTTGTGAGATTCTACTGCGGGTGCGGTAATACCCATCCTATCACAAGTCAGGTCGAGTAATACCCTCGGGGGTGGGTTCAAATTGCAATCACTAAATATTGCATTACTATCACATAAACCACGGGGTTAAAATGGTCATTAGAAGTTCACCACCTCTAAATACACTCTATTTTCTTTTCAAATTTTAACTAAACCAGAAAATAATTTGAAATTATGTGTCAATTATTAACTTTATATTAATTGCATTTTCTATTGACATTGGTGTTATAAAAAAAATTGACTAAAACATTCTGCCGTACAAAGTCCCCTTCCAAATATCCTCAAATCAAGAAAATTGTTCCCCCCGTCATAACAAGACACAACGCAAACGCCTAATTTCTGCTAAAAATGGAAAATCCGACCGCCGCCGCGGCAGCCGGACCAGTAACCATCATCCACCACACCACCGCCTTCCTCTCCAAAGCACTTTCCTCGCTGGAGCTCCGCAACCACCTCCTCGCCCTCCTCCACGGTGGCGGCAGAACCCACTTCGCCGCCTGCCGCCGCCTCATCAAGCCCTACGGCCTGGCGCTGGAGGCAGTGGAGAAGGCAACCGCTGCCACGAACCTTGCCGTACAGTCCTCCTCCCTCGCCGTCGCCGAGAAGCTCCTGCTGTCCTGCCCGACCACCACTCCCTTCTCGTCTTTCCTCCTCTCCCTCATCTAATCCTTGGTCAACCAGCCGGTCAAAGCCGCCGCCGTCGTCCTCTGCCTCTTCCGCCTCAGCCCCTCCGCCGCCCGCTCCAAGATCGCTCCTGATCTCTTCCAGGAGCTCTTCCTCGTCCACCTACTCCCTGCTCTACGGTGGTTCGAGGACCGGAGGAGCGCGATTCTGTCCGGTACTACCGCCGAGGCGCCGCCGGCGATGAAAGTGCTGTCGGAGATGAGCGGAGGGCAGGCGAAGGAGTTGAAGGTGCTGGAGGGTATTTACGAGGATGTTCTCAATGAGAATTGCAGGGTTTTTGCTGACTATTTGATTGATGAAGTTTTGAGCAGCGGCGGCGGAGGAGATGGTTCGACGGCGGGAGTGCGGCCGCCGCCGCCGGTGGTTTTGAGGATAAGCAAGGCAGAGGAATTGGGCGCCGAATTTGGACGGTATAATGTAATATTTTTTTCCACATCTTTCTCATTTCATTAGCTACTGTATCTTCTACGGAAAAATCTAACACATATTTTTAACCTTGTAATCAAAAAATAAATTGCATTTTACAGTTTATTAACGTGAAAAAAATGAATTTATTTGCATAAATAAAATGGGTTTTCCCCCGAAAAGACCACATATTAGATATTACACAAGTATATGACTGTTTGACGTAAATAAGTATCATGCTTCAGTTTTTTAGCATATTGATACAATAATCATTACTACCGCCGTAATGTAAAAAGAAATTTGAACTTATGTGTCATCTGATTGACTATATATGAAATACATACCAATATGAAATATATACCAATACCACTCATCAGGAAGTTAAAGCTCTCCTACAAAACACTTAAACTATACATAGTTTGAGGTGACTATCATGGTATTGTACGTAATCCTAAAGTCTAGTAGTTGTCCAACATGTTTTGGTTTAGTAAATAGGCAGTCCATTTAATTTTTGATCCATAATGTTTTGGTTTGTTGTGCACATGGAAATAAAATAGGGAATCACGAAAGTTTGGTTTGGTTGGTTGCATGAAAGTATAAATAATTTTGTATATTATATGTATCATTAATTGGTTTCATTGGTTAGCAGTGTTGAAACCAAACCATCTAAACCAAATAAGTTAAATTGTTTAACCAAACCAAACCAATTATCCAAATTAACCGAATCAAATTAACCGAATACTACCCGTTAATATGGTTACCACGACCTAGAAGCTACTACGCTGATTGTGTGCTAAATACGTATTAGTTTCGTTGAACTATGCTTCAACATGTTTCAAGATGTTGGATCAGATGTAGTTACTGTTTTGAGAACAAAATTAACACATTAATTCAACGACTAAAAGCATAAACAGAGACTATCCAACAATTTTAGTACTTACTGATAGCTTGGACTTATCAAAATCATTCAAACATAAACATGAATTACCAAATACCAAGCTCCAATCGCCATTATAAAAAAAAAAAAAAACCAAGCTGGTCCACTCGACAACACAGTTGGGGAAGATTTCTATTTCTGGACTATTTATTTTATAAATCTGACATTTGGAACATGACACTCTTGTTTGTTTCCAGCTCTTTCGATGATTTCAGAAGGCCTGCCAAATATTAATAATAATATTATTATTGTTATTATAATTATTATTTCCTCAAAAGTCCATTCCAGGAACATTCGTTTCGGACGGTGATTTCTGCGCTGAAAAAGACAACACTATAGACCAAAAATAAAACTATTTGCAATGCATATCTTATCATATTCTTTCCGTTCTTAAAAAAAAAATTCTTTCAGTTTGTTCTCAATTTCAGAATTGAATACGATGACATTTTTCGACAGATCAATTCATAGTGTGTCGATTCGACAATATCAATGCACATTCTATTTTGTTGGCACATGTAGTTATCGATCAACACGCGTTGATCATCGTTAGATTGTTCTTTCCGTTTATTGTCAGTTTCATAATTGAATATGGCGACATTTTTCAAGCAAGATCGATTCACAGTGAATCGTCAATTCAACAAGTCAAATCAAGCACACTAACAACGCGAAATCGATTTCGCTACCATTTCGAAGTCTGAAAAGTTTTGGCGGGGAAGGAGAACTTGGAACTAGGGATGGCAATGGGTAGGGTCGGGTGCGGGTTTACCCTATACCAACTCCTAACCCGCCGGGTAGAGCCTCCTAAAATACCCGACCAAATAACCACCGGGTATAAAAATGATATAACCATACCCTACGCACCGGGTAACCATGGGTATTCGGGTAACCATGGGTACGAATCCTAAAATACGAACTTAAGCACATACATATTGTTGTTCGTTAAAAATTCTCAATGAGATTAAGCCAAAAATACCCTACTGTTCGATGCTTGTCGTCGTGGGATGCTTGCGGAACAGGAGAGACCTGGCGAGCCGCGTTGGAACAGGGGAGAGCAGGTGCGCTGGAACGGTGGAGATTTGGCGAGAGGAACGGCGCGCGACGGAGATGGTGGCAGGGAAACGACGCACGAACCGGGAAGTAAGCAGGGGAGAGGGCGAGAGGCAGACGACGCATCGACGCCGTTCGGCTTTGCGCGGCCAGCGAGGTTCCTTGCAAACGGCGCGCGAACGGAGAGGGTAGCTGGGAGCGACGCGCGACGGAGAGGGTAGCAGGGAAATGGCGCACGAACCGGGAAGGAAGCAGGGGAGAGGACGAGAGGCGGACGTCGACGTCGACGCCGTTGGGACTGGCGGCCGGCGAAGTTCCTTGCAAACGGCGCACGATTTGGACTGTCTGTGAAATGTGCGTGGCCGCGTGGGTGTTGGCTGGCTGGAGGGCGGCGGGGAGAGCTTACAATTCAGGAATAGGGTTTTGATTTTAGGTTAGATACAAAGTTGGGGTCTTGGGGAGAAGTTGCCACTGGCCAGATTGTCTTCTCACTTCTGGTTAGGTAGTGTCGGGCAGTGGGTGCTGGGTTAGGGTCTAGGAAAATCAACTTTTAGTTAGCGGGGCGGGTATAACGGGGTGGATATTGTCGATTACCATAGTCGTACCCTACCCTTTATTTTGAAACCGGGTATTACCCGTACGGCCGTACCCGCCCCTTAACCCGTCAAAGCGGGTAATTACCCTCGTTGACCGGTTACGGTCGGGTAGGGTACCCATAATTACGGGGTGGATTGACATCCCTACTTGGAACTGGTCATATATATGTTATCGAAATCATTCCATCCAAAGTGAAATTAAACAAAAGTTTCCCTAATTAGCTGGTTCAATTCCATGACAAATTATCTCTGGATAGACCTAACATTTCTTGTTTTTGTCTTCAACTCTGCATATTTTGATTTCATTTATGCAGCCAATACAAAAAGAAGGAAGCAGAGAAGAATCCGCCGCTTCATCTTCGGAATTCTGCAGTCCATTTGGCGGCAGCAGCACTTCCTCCACTCCCATATCTCACAGTCACCACCCCTCGCCGCAGGCAACTTCTTCTTCTCCGGCGAAAACAGAGTCCCCTGCTCCGTCTATTTCCGATTCCGACGACTTAACCTCATCTTCTTCCAACACGTCAACTTCTTCATCTTCTTCCTCCTCCATATCTGCGGTGCAACTTCTTCTTGTCCTTCCTGATTTCACTATGTTATCTTTGGTTTCATCAGGAATTTAGAAATTAAACAAAAAACCCAAATTTCCCCCTCCATTTTTGGACAGCAGGAAAAGGCCAAACGAGTAGCATTGTTGCAGCCTCTCACAGATCCCCTGCCTCGCAGCGAACAAATCCGGTAATACGTTATTGCCTAAAATCGGCTGATTCCTGGTGAATTGTCGAATTTTGAACGCATTTTTTTAATCCCATTCTCTGATTCATTCTTCTGAAACCGGAATTGGGGTTCTTCGGCAGCAGCAGCTCTTCCGGAGGTCACAACCAGACATTAATGGCGGATTTCGACAGTCTCCTGCTCAGTAATAAACACTCTCCTCCTCCAAAGGACTTCGTCTGTCCAATAACAAGCAACATATTCGCCGACCCAGTAACCCTCGAGACCGGCCAAACCTACGAGCGGAAAGCGATTCAAGAATGGCTGGATCGAGGCAACTCGAGTTGCCCGATTACTCGCCAAAATTTGACCAGCACTCTGCTACCCAAAACCAACTACGTCCTCAAGCGCCTCATCGCCAGCTGGCTCGAGCGCAACCCCGTCTCTTCCCCTTCCGTCGAAACCCCTCCCCGCCGGAAGAGATCCACCGTGGAATCTCCCAACAGCGTCATCGCCGCTGCGGCGGCCGTGGACGGTTCTGTTGCTGAACTCCGCCACGCGATCAACAACCTCTGTATGTCGGAGATCCTCGACGAGTCCGAGACGGCGGTTCTGACCATCGAGAGGTTCTGGCAGGAGGTGAAGAGGAGTAAGAATCTAGGGTTTGATGTGCAGAGCATGCTGGCTCGCCCCGCCGTGGTGAGCGGGTTCGTCGAGATTCTGTTCAACTCCGTCGATCCCACGGTGCTGAAGGCGACCGTCTTCCTGTTGTCGGAATTGGGGTCGAGGGATAAATCGGTGGTGCAGACTTTGACGAGGGTTGACTCCGACGTTGACTGCATCCTTGCCCTGTTCAAGAAGGGGCTTCTGGAAGCTGTGGTGTTGATTTACTACCTCTTGACGCCTTCTTCTTCGCCAGGGGACTTGGTGGAGATGGACATGGTGGAATCTCTGGTGGCGGTGTTGAGGAGGAAGGAGAGTGATATGCTGAAGATGTGTATGAAGCCCAGAACAGCTGCTGTGCTTCTGTTGGGGCAGATAATGGGAACTGGTGAGGAAGGTGCGGTGGGGGCCATTGTGAAGGGTGATGTTGTGGCAGCCATTGTTGGAAGCTTGGAATCCGAATCGGCCGAGGAGAGGGTTTCGGCGGTTGGGATACTGTTGAAGTGTATGAAGGAAGATGGAACTTGTAGGAACACCATTGCTGATAAAGCTGAGCTTGCTCCTGTGTTGGAGAGCTTCGTTGGTGGGGGTGATGGCGAAAAGTTCGAGATCATTTGTTTCCTATCTGAGTTGGTGAAACTCAACAGGTAATTTCCATTGTTGATTCCATTTATGAGGGTACTGATCAGGCATATCGTCATGATCATGGTGATTGGTGATAGGGGTTTACCTTAACTTCGTGGGAAAATAAATGTCATATATCCAGTTATGCCAGGGAGTTGAACAAAACTTGTTTCCTGTAGGATGACATTCAACGAGCAAGTTCTTCATATTATCAAGGATGAAGGCACTTTCAGCACCATGCATACTTTTCTCAACTATTTGCAGACTGCTCCTGTGGATCAGTCTCCTGTCTTGGCCGGCCTTCTTCTCCAGCTTGATCTTCTGGTTTGAATCTTTCTTCTCTATTCCCTATTTTCTTTGTTGCTTCATATTGTGTATGGAGTTCTGATTCAGTTAGTTTTTTTTAACGGGTTAGGCTGAGCCGAGAAAGATGAGCATGTATAGGGAAGATGCGATAGATACCTTCATTTCATGCCTCAAGAACTCAGAATTCCCAGCTGCTCAAGTAGCTGCTGCAAAGACCATTTTGGCACTGCCAGGGAGGTTTAATGCTTCTGGGAAGTCCCTTACAAGAGCGTTTCTCCTAAAACGTGCTGGAGTCGAGAAGAGTTATCGAAGCCTTACACAGACCGACCAGCATACTGGGTTGCTTTATGGAGAAACTGAAGAGGTATAGATATTTGGATTTTTGTTGCTCTGAACTTCGAATTTTTTGTTCATGCTGGCAGAAAAATGTAATGAGATTGATTCTTGAGCCTCTTCTAGCAATTCGAGTTGTTCGGACAAACTGATTCTTGTGGCTACTGCTGACAATTTACTTTCTGCTGCAATTCTTTCAAATCAGATAGAAGAGAGGGCAGCTGAAGTATGGGACATGAAGATGGCATCTGCATTGGCGAGCCACGAGTTCGGAGCAATCTTTGAGGTGCTGGCAGAAGGGATGAAGAGCAGAAACTCGGAATTGCAATCGGCTTGTTTTGTTTCAGCGTCATGGCTTGTGCACATGCTCGACATTCTTCCCGACACTGGGATTCGTGGTGCTGCTCGAGTCTGCTTGCTCAAGCGGTTTGTGGCCATTTTCAAGTCAGCAAAGGATAGTGAGGATAAAGTCCTAGCATTGCTAGCTCTCAAGAGCTTCCTAAATGATCCTGGTAAGTGATTGGATCAGTGGATGGTTAATATTTTAATCTGAATCGGCTGCAGGAATGTCCATATGACCAGAGTTCTTTTGTTCTTCTTTTATTCTTTTTTTGGGTGATTCTGAAAATATAGAGGGGCTACAAGATTTGAATAACTACATGAAAGATATAAAGAAAGGGCTGAGAGAGCTTAGGAAGTCATGCTCACTGGCATTTGAAGTTCTCAAGGTTCTCTCAGAGGGGAGAGACAACAGTGCTGTAAGTCTGATGCTTTTAACCAGTTTGCAAGCAGTTTCATCAGGGTTTTCTGCAGAAAGTTCCAATTTTGATTTCTTGGATTTGTTTTTTTCCCCCAGGAACTTTGGAACCACAAAGAACTAGTTCAGGTTGACTGTTGTGAGAATGGAGAGGTGCTTTCCATTGCCTACTTCAAGGACAAGATCATTTCAGGCCACTCAGATGGAACTATGAAGGTGATTAGTAACCATCTTAACCAACTCTAGTTCTGAACTACATAACCCCTGCAAAAAGCCTGTGATCTGAACAAAATTTGCTAATGGATTATGAAGGTTTGGACTGGTAGGGGAAGTGTCCTTCACCTTGTCCAGGAACTCAGAGAACACACAAAGGGAGTCAGTAGCTTGGTGGTTCCGCAATCAGGAGACAAGCTATATAGTGGCTCTCTAGACAGAACTGCCAGAGTCTGGTCCATTGTGGGCGACACTTTGCATTGTATGCAAGTTCATGATATGAAGGATCAGGTTCATAATCTGGTGGTTGCCAACTCCATTTCTTGCTTCATCCCTGCAGGCGCGGGTATCAAGGTACAAAGCGTCTTATAAACACGAATTTCGACCAGCTTTTCAGTTAACTATCGAACCAGTTACACCAGATCGGTTGCCAGTTACCTGGTAACTGATATCTATCTCTATTACCCTCTTCTCTAAGTGAGCTAATGAAAGTGTATTTGTTGTCTCAGGTTCATTCCTGGAGCGGCAAGTCCAAGTTGCTGAACTCAGGGCGATATGTCAAGTGCCTGTCTCTGGTTCAGGGGAAGCTTTACTGCGGCTGCCACGACAGCAGCATTCAGGTGAAGCTCCAAACTTCTCAGGATGATCCAACTTCTGGAAGGGGGAGAACATCCAGCACAAAAAACCTGACACTTTTTGGGTCTTTCTTCACTTTCATTCCCCCGATTTTCCAGGAAATTGATTTGGCAACAGAAACGGTATCATTCATTCAAAGTGGATACAGGAAGCTAATAGGCAAAGTGAGTCCGGTATACGCGCTAGAGGTTCGAGATGGGCTCGTGTATTCAGCCGTTTCGCCATTGGATGGAGCAGCTGTTAAGGTAAAGGCAGAACCCAATAATTTGACTTTCCAATTGTTCCCCTGGTATGTTTTTTTAATCATAATGTGGGGACCTTTTTTTTTTTGGTTTGAACAGATATGGAGTGCTTCAAATCATGGTCAAGTGGGTGCATTGGCAACGACCCAGGAAGTCAGGACCATGGCTGTAAGTTCAGAGCTTATCTATTTGGGAAGTAAAGGTGGGACGATAGAGATATGGGATCGAAAGAAGCACATTAGAGTAGAGACCATACAAGCTTGCACCAACAGTAAAGTTATTTCCATGGCTGTCGATGGCAATGAAGAGATACTGGTTGCTGGAACATCAGATGGGTGGATTCAGGTGATTTTAACCGATCCATAGTTACTCATTTTAATATTTATGTTTCATAATAGGCAATAAAACGTGGGCGCAAATAGTGAAACATTGATCGACACAGTTAAGGGTCAAACGTGAATACTCTCAATCGAAAGTCGATTGCTTTATCGACCGGTCACGTTTTATCCTCTGATCTAATGATTTTTCTTTCTGGGTTGGTGCAGGCATGGGGATTGAGCTAAGAAATGGTGAAACCTGGCATTGCTGTAAATTAATTGTTTTGGCAAGGGAAGAGAAAAAGGGTGGAAAATGGAAATAAGGTTCATCCTCCCTCACCATTCATTGTAAGAGCAGGGGAATTGATCATTAGTTTTTTTGTTGTTGTTGATTTTGGTGGGATCCTTTGTGGGAATAATGTGATCTGTCCTATCTTCTCTTGAAAATTGGAATAAATAGCTGTGTATATAGATGGATATGCCATATAGTTGTTAACAGATCTAGGACTGTTTATATATTAGCATGCTTGTCACTTAGCCCATATTTTTTCCAATGTATAAACATCTTTGTAAGACAATCAAAATGAGGATGTCCTAATTGTGAATGTCAAAGATTCCAAACATTATTCGACTGACTTGACAAACTTATTGATAAAGGACTATTACGAAGAATAGACACTGAAAAGGATTGCCGACAAACCTATTAGAATGACTAGTAAAGATGTTGAGATTGATGAAGTTCCTCTAAATGAAAAAGCCTCTCCCTAAACATTTTTGTAAGACAATCAAAATGAGGATGTCCTAATTGTAAATGTCAAAGATTCCAAACATTGTTCGACTGACTTGACAAATTTATTGATAAAGGACTATTACGAAGAATAGATACTGAAAAGGATTGCCGACAAACCTATTAGAATGACTAGTGAAGATATTGAGATTGACGAAGTTCCTCTAAATGAAAAGCCTCTCCTCCCCCCCGCTTATTTCTCTTTCTGATCTACCTCCCCATCTTCTAATCCTGTATGAAAGATGGTGTGAACAAAAATACCCTCGTTCAGTGAGTTGACCAACTAAAAGTAAGGGTGCATGAAGAGTATTAGGCAAACCTAAAATTGATTTGTCTACTATCTAATGCCATTAACGTGTAATTGACTCCATTAGCTAAGATTACTAGCAACATGTAATGTCATATGCTAACCAAAACCACATCTCTAAGATTACTAGCAAAGACCTCCTTGTTGCGCTTCACGATGAGTAGTCACCATCAAACCGATTGAAGTTGGTTCTCAATGAAATTATCTCGAAAACTCTGTGCGCCTTTGTGTCGAGACGTTTTATTATTGATAATATCATAAATGCTTTCAAATGTTTTCGTTACATGAAAAAGAAGAAAAAAAAGGCAAGCAAGGCTTTTTGGCGGCTAAGTTGGATATGACTAAAGCGTATAATAGGGTGGAATGGGGATTTCTAGAGACCATGACTCAACTAAATAATTTGATACCAAATGACTCATTCAAATGATTCAAGCAAATGACCCCTGAGCTATCGTTTTATGGGAAACCAAAACCCGAAAACATGAAAATGAAAACCTGTTTAGCTGAAACTTTTTTGAATTATGAAATTGAAATGCAACATTAGCAGTAGAGGTCTATAGGGTAGGTACATTCAGTCTGTACATCAAGGCATCAACAAAAGTAGAAGCAGAGGTATATAGGGTAGGTAAATTCAGCATGTACATAAAGGCATCAACAGAGGTAGGTCTAACTGGTCACCTAGAAATCTTCCGGATAATGATATGGGCATCTCTAAAAGGAGTTGAAATGCAGAAGCAAAAGTAGTGAATCTCATAGGGATATATTCACTAGAATCTACTGTTGGCATTTTAGTCTAAAACCCCCTGACATGAAACGATCTCCAAGCCCAGGCATGATCAAATCTCACTAAGAAGTATACCGTCATTCATAAGCTTGATGACAGTATACAATATTTTAAACATAGCATATCCAACTTCCTCCTAAGTGACAACCAAACCTTCGAAAACACATTTGCCCTGCAGAACTGTGTACAACCAATCTTACTCCCTCGTACTTTAACCAACCTCAACAATACACTATATTGCCTATGTAGTGTTACCGCAACCAATAAAAAGTAACTCTTAATTTTCATGGATTAACTTAACCATATCTTTTCAATTTGTATATATAATGAGTTTCATATTGTCTTATAATTTATCTTATTTTAGTTCTCTCCAATATCTCATTGAGTTTTCTAAATGTATCTTTAGTGATATACATTTATAGAGAATCATCATTCTTTTGAGAATATGCATTGTGGATTGCATGCTTTCAATCATGCAAATAGTACTCATTTATGAAAGTGCATTATGCGTGTGCTTTATTCATACCTATTTCTCAAGCGATAATCTAACTTTGAAATGTGTTGTCCAGACCGGTGCATTATGCGTGTGCTTTATTCATACCTATTTCTCAAGCGATAATCTAACTTTCAAATGTGTTGTCCAGACCGGTGCTTTATGCGTGTGCTTTACTCATTTTAGGGGTGGGAAACGGTGCGGTCCGGTCCAGACCAGACCATAGATACGGTCTGTGGTCCAGACCGAGAGGTTGGAACACAGACCATGGACCAGACCATATACTATACGGTCCAGACCAGACCACACCTGTGCAGTGCGGTCCGGTATGGTCTGGACCAGATAGACCATGTTAAAAAAAATTAACTCTTGTTCGCACTCCAACCCTTCGCCGGTATCTATAAAAAAATCTAGTGATGAATATGCTAGTGAAACAAAAAAATTGTGACCGTATTAAATGAGAAGAAATATGAGGATAGAAGTGGGTTTTTTCAATTTTCAAATAGCCTTATTTCCCTATTACTCTTTGTGCTACCGCTTCTCTCCTCTCTCGAGTGATCCGAAGGTTCTCCCAGTTGATAACCTTTTTGATGACGTCGAGGTAATTTCGAACCACTAAGATGGTCGCATATCTCTCAATAATTTTCCTTATCTCATCAAGGTGAACGAATTTTTTTGTAGTGTTCAATTTTTATCGACTCCATAGTCTAGACATTATCTGTGAATATTATTTATGAGTCTTTCTAATTTTTGTGTGGTACTTTGATAAGGAGATAACATATAAGCGATCAATTTGCAATTTGTTGGCTCTCAACTAGATGAAGAATCAACTAACTTTGTTCTTCAAATACACATATGGAGGTTCAATTTAGTGTTATTTTTGTCCAAGATAGTAGGTAGTGTGTCGCGGTCTGTTACGGTTTACTGCGGTAGACCGCGGTCCAGACCACTTCAGACCACGCACTAAAGGAGGAGACCACAAACCAGACCAGACCATAGTTCTGGTCTCACGGTCCAGACCAAACCATACGATACGGTCTAGACCGCGGTTCTCCATACGGTTTGGTCTGGATTCCCAGCCCTAAGTGAAACCACGCAAAAACTCCCCGACCACTAAAAACCGAAGCAAAAATAAATTGACATGTTGCTGGAATTGAACCAATGACTTCTGCCTGCTAAGGAAGGAGTTAGCAACATAACCAGTTACACTACAGAATAGCTTGTGATGTATTAGCGCCGCTTCATTTACGACCTGATGACGTAGGCATTGCTACCTCCATACAAACACCAAGAAGAGAAAATAAAGGAAAGAATAGGAAACCAAATCCTAGCATAAACTCTGTAAGTCCAGAGCAGGTTAAGAACCCCAAACAAATCTGATTACAAAGCCAAATCGTCAAACCAACTCACCGAAGTTCCTTTTCCGACACTTTTGTCGTAACCTTTTCGTCAGCCAAACCAGCGCCACTAAAGGCAGTATCAGCTACAAAGCTTGATACTGTTGCGAAAAGAAAGTCACCACGAGCATCAAAAAATTTACGGAATTGAATTCCGAGCTCAGACGAGGGAGAAACAAAGCCGAGAAGTTGGTACGTGAGGTAAGGAAATTTCCAGTTTTCAGCAGATTTTGGATATGCAGAAAATTAACAATTAATCCCTAATTTCGTACTAAAGATGATCAACTCGCAGTTTCTTCGTTTGACGTCCAAACGACGAACCGTTTTTGCCTACAGGACCGTAGAAATGAGGAGGATTTCTGGGGATCAACCACTGGAATTTTAGAACTTAATTCCCGACTTGGAATTGACCGAATTAAGGTGTGTGGGGATTAAGAAGACCTTAATTATTGCATCGATTATTTATGCTTAATTTGAATATTTGGATGGATGAATTATTTGTTGATATGATGATTTGGTGATTATTCTTGATTGTTATGGATTTTACGGTGTAAATATCGGTATTTGATAAGTTTCACCGTAAAAATGGATAGTTGGGTTTATTGAGTTTAAAACTGATCAAATATATTTTTTTCATGTCTAAAATGATTTTGGGGAAGATTTATCATAAGACTTCACTTGAAAATAGGTTCCGAGTTAAAAACTGAACAACAGTGAATTTTACGAAAAGCTCGGTAAAACCGTGTTTTATTTATCTTTAAGATGTTGTTGACTTTAAAATGGCCAGTGTGGCTTGTTAAATTTGTTTTGATATTCAAAAGGGTAAATTAGACAGCTGGTAAAGTTTTTATCTTTAAAATGGTAAAAACAAGCTTAATAAGAGATTTGTGGTAAAGACTGAGTGTAATATTATTTTCATGGTTTTGAGATGTTGAAAATATAAAACCTAGAAAGACCTATTTTAGGATGATAAATGGATGTTCTGGTATTTTTGGGACTTTTTTGGAGTTACCGTTTTGTTAGAATTTAAATTACTGTAAAATAATGGTTAATACAAAAATTTTGAGATTTTATTCTCTAAATTGTTGTTTATGATCGGAACTGGATTAAATGGTTTTTGGTGTAAAAAAAATAATCTATATGGATTTTGTGATGATTTTAATGAAGGAAAATGAATTTTGAATTAAAAGTATTTTAACCGCAAACCGGTTATTTATGATTATTCTGAACCGAGGTTATTATGTGAAGTTGTGTGATGAATTTTAAATGAGGAATTATGATCTACAACTATTGAGTATTGTTACTGAAGCCTGAAGGATGATGATGATTTATGTGATTTGAGGTTGGATGATGGATTGGATTTCGAGAATGTCGAGTTGAAAACCAACATGAGATACGTATGGATTGGGAATCAGTGGGATGACATTGATTCCTGGATTGATTGAGATGATGATGAGTTGATGAGAAGAGAAACATGA